GTGTCAGAACCATTGTGCTTTGGAACCATAGCTTATGACTATGTGTCCTTTTTAACAAATCTTATTTTAAACCAACTGCTTAAAATAAGGGTCAGAGAGGTTTTTGGCTGAAAGATAGAATGCCTTACAAATGCAGTTGAAAAACTAGTACTTCTTTAGGTCTTTGCATCCTATCTGCTTGCTTGCATTTGCCGGTGAAGAAGTAGCCTCAAATCTATCCCTTTGCTGCGTAGGCAATGAGAGCACTGCTGAAATCTGGTGACACTGAGAAAATTGTGTTCTTTGCTGGAGTCTCAAGACAAAGGGAGATTTATATCATGGCTGCCAATTATCTGCAATCCCTGGACTGGCGCAAAGATCCAGAGATTATGAAGAACATCATCAGCTTCTATACCAAAGGGAGGGCTCTGGACCTTTTGGCTGGCTTTTATGATGCTTGTGCTCAGGTCAGTGGGATTCCTCCCTCAGATACTCCATTTTAGTTGCACAATAGAAAGAGCAGATCCCATTCGTCTTTCCTTCCTTGCAGGTGGAAGTGGATGAATACCAGAACTATGAGAAGGCCCTGGGAGCCCTGACTGAGGCATATAAGTGTCTGTCCAAGGCAAAGACACGGAGCCCAGTTGAGCAAGAGAACAAGCTTGCACTCTTGCAGAGCAAGATGGCATTGGTGAAAAGATTTATTCAGGCCCGGAGGTGAGAGGGAGCCATGAGGAGTTCTTTACGGTATAGGCCTGTTTTGTTATGTGGTTATATAAGCAAGTGGTTGGAGAAGGTTACCCTGAAAGTGGTGGTGAATAGTAAGCAGCTTGGTAACAAATCTCCATCTCCATAATAACCCAATCAACATTCCCCCTTTGGGAGTAAGGAAGTCACAGCCAGTCATGAAGCCTTGCTCTGTACAGACATGCATAGAAAGCAGCAGCAAAATCTCTTGGAGCATCTTAACAACTAGCACATTTCTTCCAATACAAGCTTTCAGGAATTAGGGTTTGTTTTATCAGCTGCATCTGATGAAAACGTAGTCCATAATATATCTGTTAATCTCTGCAGTGTCACAGGAGTTTGGGTTGGGTTTTGCTGCAAGTTTACAATGCCGCAAAAGAGAGAAGGGTACTTGCTTTGCTCCTCTTGGGAGCGTATCCACTTTTGATACACCACCAGAGGCAGAGAGAAGTGTAGTAAATATTAACTTCAGAACAGTTTCCCTTTATTTTGCAGCAAAGCCACTTGATAAGAAAAATGCTTTGAGTACCCAAGTGTTTTCTAATTGCACGTTGATTTCACTGAGAGGAAAAAAATCAGCAAAGGAACAGCTGTCCCAATTATTGTGTCTGGTATGTTTTTTGCCCTCCTAGACTTTACTCTGAGGATCCCAAAGAGGCCATAAGGCAGTGTGAGCTGCTCCTGGGGGAGCCTGATCTTGACAGCACCATCCGCCTGGGGGATGTTCTGGGGTTCCTGGTGGAGCATCACTTGCAGATGCAAGAATTCCAGATGGTGAGTGCCTTTGGCTCCTCCCAGGCCCACAAATCACAGAAATAATTCTCATTCAGCAGCACCCATAGCGCCGTTGGTCTCTGTGGGACTGTACCACTGCAGATACTGGCATATTGATGCATGGGGCTCCATAATTGAATGCTTCTCTCTGTTAAAACCCCAAACCTTACTCATAGAAAGCAAACATATGCAGGAAGGATTGGGAAGAACCATGTTCAAGCCCCATTTGACAGTGGAGTTCAGGGGCTGATGTCTGACCCGTTACGGTCTCTGCTCTCAGCTCATCTTAAAGGGATACTGCTGTAAAGGTAAAGGGAGAGGAAACATCCCCCAGGTGTGAGGGAAACTGATGTAAGGGTAAATTTACAAAGTGGGGGGGGGGACCATTAAGAACTATTGTTGTTGTTTTTGTTGTGCTGGTATTAGGATATGTATTATTTTACTGTTGGCGTTGGTTTATGCAGTATATTTTACTGATTCACCTGAAATGTTGAGTGCATACAGAATAAAAATGAGTGTCGCTGCTGTAACTCCTAGTTTTCTCTATGTAAAGGTAGGGAGATTTCATACACTGTACAAGAGATCCCGGATGCATTCCGCAGATTTTTTTTCTTGGTGAGTTTCCTATCTGTTCTAAGTAACCGTCTGTAGTTGGTGGCAGTGCCAAGGAAGATTTATAAATACGGTGATCAGGGACTTGGTGTGCCCCCATTCTACAGCACTCTGGTACCTCTTCTCCCCACCTGGATGGACTGGGATGGAGGAAGTCAGAGGAAACAATTATGCAGGGCCATCTGGAGAAGAGATGATTCACACGCTTCCAGCAGGAAACATCCAAATGGCCCACTTTCAAACAGGGAAGCCAGAATTACAGGCAGAAAGGAACTGCTGCTCTTGAACCCCCAGGTGCTCTCTAGCGTTCGAGCAAAGAAGAGATGGCATTAAATATTCAGCCGGAAAGCAAATTCAGTGTACAACTATGTGCCTTATCTGTTATCTGTTGGAAGAGTCTGTAGCAAGGCCACTACAGTGAGTGCCACCTCTCTCCCATTCCCTGGATCATGCGTTAGGGTTGTGTAAATGTTTTTGTTGTTGTTTTGTAGGCCTTCATTACAAAGGCCTATACATTGTAAAGACATTGCTTTAGGAGTCGTGCAAATTGTAATGATAAACAAACATGGAGTATGTTTAACTGGGAAAAAACCCTCCCATATGTGGGTTGGAAAACTGGGTTATGGATTAGCATGTTGTGTGAAGCCAGGCAATTGCTGTTTGTTATACAAACCATGGCTTAGCTTGATGCGTCCTTCGGGCAAGGACAGCTCCATTGTTGACCAGGAAAATCAGCTCAGTTCTCAGCTTGGTTCCCACATAAATAAATAAACCGTGTATTAGTCAGAGAGCAAAGTAAGTTGGCCGAGGCACCACCACCCACTGTAGGTCTCTGTGCTGTGCTCAGATGGTAGAACAGCCTGTGAATGTGACACCTTGTTCCCATTAGGCCTACCGGTATCTGGAAGAGATGCGGAAGAAAATCCCCTGTGTGAATCTCAGCTACTACGTGAACCAGCAGACGGTTGAGGCAGTTCACAGAGGACTGGGTATCCCTCTCAGCCGAAGTGCTGCTCCAGAGAGAGTTCGCCACAACAGCGTGGAGGAGAAGGAGATAGAGGAAGTGGCTGATGAAACGGAGGCACCCTGAATAGCTCCACAGGGGCTCTGGGCACAGCACTCTTTTTCCTGCACTGTTAGGGGAAAGCCAGTGGACTCGGCCTTGCTTCGTTAGGGACAAGTAAGCTGGGGGCAGTCAGGAGTTGAAATCTAGGATTTGCTTGGCGTTTCCTAAAGGGTCCAAAGACACAGGTTTTACATTTCTCCTAAAATATTCAGAGATGGCGTCAGCGAGATCTTAGGATTTGTATTAAATATTTTAGACACACAACTGTCTTGCATCATTTTGTATGGCATAAAATATGAAGGACAAGAGGTTGGGAATGGCAGAATAGTAATCATGACAGCAGGCGCAAGCGTAATTACAGGCAGTCTAAACAAAGTTCTCCTGTTAAGCTGGTTGAATTTGTCAACAGGATTCACTTTCTTCTGCCACTGAACCACTTGTACAGAATGGACCCCTTACAAAAATATAGCCTGTTACAGCTTAGCACAGCCTTTAAACCTTTCTCCGTCATTTGGCTTGGGAAATACATGCACCGCTCCCCTTCTTCAACTTCTAGGATGGGCATCATCAATTCCTACTCTTAAAAGGACACCTGGAAGCAGATCACTGTAACCCATTCATAATGAACAGGATTCAGGCGCAATGAGCAAATGTGGTTGTTTCCCCTGAAAAATACCCAGCAGTTACAAAACTTTGCTTCTGACTTTTGGTAAGTTGGCTAGGCCCATAAATAACTAGGACAGAATACATGTGCATCAGCAACAGCGCCTGCGGGTTGTAGGTTCCATACTAAGTCCAGATGTCTCTGGCCTCCAGCTTAGTGCCCTTTGACCTTTCCTCCTACAGGGCCTGGGTCATTTGCAGCCACCAGCTGTTTGGAGAGCATCTTTATGATCCAACTGTCCTACACTGTAGAGGAGCTGTTTCAAGCTTTTTTTTTCAAGTTTTCCATCAGTAGTAGATTCTGCAGGGCTAAATTTCTGCAGTCACCATCTGGGTCCTTCTCTGTAACATCTACAGAAAATAGGAAGAGACACAGAAGAGAGAAAAAAATGACTTGAGGAAATTCCTGTAAAGCATTAGTTGAACTGTCAAGTAGAGGAACAATAAAAGGAAGTTAAGCTGGATATGAGAGGGTTTTATTCATTTTAGACCGAACTTTATTTAGCAGCCTTTTTTTACAGTATGTTCTTACACTATAACCAAACCTTCTTGGCAATAAGATCAAAAAATTTCTATTTCCCCCCTATTCTCCCTAACCACATGACTGAGTAAATATTGGAGATGTTCCGTTTTTCACAGCATGGTTTTAAACAGAAATATAAAAACTTATCGTTGGCTCCCACATAAACAGGTTGTTTTTTTTTCAAAGTATTAGTTGGTATACTGATTTTGACATCCCTCCACAAAACTTCCATTAGAGGCCATCTGAGATGTGAATGGTAAATTTCTACCTTTCATCACCAAGAGATGCCTTTCTTAATGAATAGTAAGTTTGCAATAAGAATCTAAAAATGGCTTTTCACAACCTCAGCACAGCTTCTCCAGTTATGAAAACAGATATGCACCCCTTTGTATGATGGGGCATAAATAGTTCTTGGAAATATACCCAGAAAACCCAAAACCAAAAACCTGCGTGTGATACAGCACTGAATTTAATTCTTTGCCTCCCCCTAGAGAACTAAATATGGGGAACTGGGCTCCTGCTTGCTTTTCCCCACAACTGTAACTAAGACAGTTTTCTGCAATTTTGAGGGAGGAAGCACGTGGAAAATTCTACAGGATAATCCCTAAATTTTTAAACAGAAAAGAAACCTTTTCAGGTTAAACCCCAGTTAAAACCCCTGAAGCTCCAGTTCAGCCCATGTACATGAGATGGTCCCACTGGCTTTGCCTCATTGCTAACAAAGAGGTTGTTGGTCCTGCTCTGAGAAGCTAAATCTTGGGTTACAGGCCATATTTAAGGCAGCTGAGGTTTGGCCAAAAATGTGTGCGTTGAATGCTATGCAGTCAACACAAGAGAAATCAATGAGCTGAAACACCGCCTCCCCCTTCTCCACCCCCAGGATGCAGAGGCCACCACGAAATGCATCTTAATCTGCTCGAGTTCTGCTCAGAGACAGCTGTCAGTAGAAGATGGGGGGCGGGTGTCTGTGTGTGCAGCCTGGCATCTCTGTTCCTGATCCGCCTGCAAAGTGGGAATCAGGATATGAGACCAGCAAAGGGGAGTCCAAAAAAGTGTGAGGATATCCTGTGCGCACAAGTTGAGTGCTGAGAGTCCAGCACCAGGTCAGCCTGGGTACATGACTCACTCCCACAGCCCCACTCTATTGCTCAAGTGGCAAGAGACTTTTAGAACTGGGGCTAGGCACACATTAAAGCCCATCATCCACATGTGCCCCTAATAGCTAAACAAGCTAAACAAATTAATGTATTTTTTTCAATGCTATGGACCAATACCCAGCTTGGAGAACTGAAAGGCAAATTTGCTGTGCTATACAACACGCTACATTTTCTGCCTCCTCTATCCATTCCTCTTGCAGCCTGGAAGCTTCTGTTAGAAACTGACTTTATTTTCACAGATTTCAGCTAGCATATACTTGCAGCACTATTCTAACATGCTGACGAGCACAAACGTCCATCTTCTCATCTTGGCTGTATTTATGAATCTTACACCACCCACAGGACAAAACGTTTCAGTGCCGATCACCCAGTGCCCCGTTTTGCCCTGAGTCTTGAATCGCCACGATGCAACTCTTACTCTTTCAGCTCAGACGCAGTTAAGATATTGCTGAATTGGCAAGATGGGCCCGGAGGAGGAGGAAAGCCGGTTTCTCCGTCGTGTCATGGGAAAGGAGGAATTTTGGTGGCCTCCGTGAGCTCTTTTCCCTTTTAAGGGCACAGGACACTGGGTCCCAATGCAGGGATCAAAGGACTGGCTCTGTCAATGTTACTTCCTCTCCAGCTCTCGTGGGAAGCAGTCTTGCTTCCTGCAGATTCCTGGCATCTCACCCCTCAGGAGTGAGAGGTGGCCCAATCCCCAATGCTCTGTGACCTTCTGGGAACACGGAAAATCCCATCATCCACTCCCTCACAATGTGGGGGGTTTTCTCCTCTGCTCCGGAGCACCAGGAGAAATAGCCTCGTTGGATGTGCTACTGAGAAAGCACGCTCCTCCACAGCATCAAATTGTATTCAGCAAATCCACCACATGACGAAGCTTGCATTTATTGCAAAGGTGCCCAAATTTGGGGCATAATGGCTCCTTTGGGAGCGTAGCCATTGCAAAGTCTGATTGCTTGTGCCAATATGCCTCAGCTGTGCACTGTAGGAGCAGCCCAGATATTTTGCATCTCAATGAGATCAGAGCTGTTGCAGGAGGGCTTTCTCCACTGTGTATTCTGGCCCTGGAACTCACGATCCAGCCAAGCCTGCTGAATCTCCTCTCTACTGACCTTCTGGCAGATGGCAGAGTTTCTAATTCTGGCAAAATGTTCCTCTCCCAGACGGATCTCCTTCCTATCTCAAGGTTTTATGGCAGCATTGCTAACTTTTTTGCCATCTCCAGCTCACTTTTCAACTGCCGTTACTTTCAGCATTGTTTAAGAAAATGGTTAGCTTTTTGAAGATGACGTGGGGTACTTTTAAAAAATGCATTTAAACTTAAGTTTCTCACCCTTGATTGCTGCTGCATACGCACACGCAGCTGCCCTGGTTGGGCTCAGCGGTGCCGCTTATCACATTGACTTCTCCCAAGTAGTTGTGTCAGATTGGCACTGAAAATTAGGTGTGCCTATCTAAAGCTTCACCAAAGATACCAAAACTTCATAACCCTATCCTTTCCAATGGCCTGCCTTCCCAGGTTCTTCTCACCTGCCAGCCAGGCTTGAGTCTCTAGAAGTTCCTCTGTCATGTCCTCTAGAAGGTGCTCAGCAGGTACGCTGAGGAGTATGGAGGAGACTGAAGACAGAAGACCATGCCGCACGTATCTGCAAAGGAAAGAAATGCCCTGGTGAACGCCTGCAGGAAGGAACCTTTTCCTATACAACTGACAGGCCACAGACATGAATCCGTTTTGCAGTTCTGCTAACTTTATTTTGCTGCTGAGAACACCAGACCAGGGCCTTGATGTCTACTTTGCATTCTATAGAACCCAGCTTTGGACCTGTGTCAAGCTCCCCATTTTTAGCTGTTTTATGGAGCAGGAAACATCACAACACCCACAAGCTATAGTAAAGCTGCTTTCCTAAGTGATGCACCATTACATACGAATTGCAAACAAAAAGAGCAGATTCCAAAAAACTAGCGTTGCTCATGAAAAATGGCCTATGTTCTCTTGATTTTTGTAAAAACTAGGGGAGGGCAGTATGAGTTACAATACTCCCATGGCTTGAGGCTTTCCACTCTTAATGGCCATTCCTTTTCTGTGCTTGAAAGAAAGGAGCACTCAGTGTCTTGATATCATCGGAGATTCAAGAACAGAAAAAGAGAAAATTAGGTCGGGGTGTGACCACAGCAAAATTCTGTCCTGCTGGACTACGGCTTTTTTATGCACTTTTCCAGTTCATCCAGGTGTTCACAAAAACTCACGTGTCAGTGTGGAAACGCAGGGCCCAAACGAACTCTAGCAACGCCTTTCCCATTGCAGTTGCTACCTGTCGAAAATAGAAAAACGCATAAGAAGATCCAACCGAGCAGGAAAGAGGATCTCCAGGAGACGCAGGTAACAGAAGCCAAGATGGTCTGAGAAAACCAAACAACAATATGGATAACATGAATGAAAGGGATTAGATGCCATTTAATAATGCTGCAACTGAGATGGGCCATGTCTGCTCCACCTAATGCCTTGGTTTTGGGCATTAGGCATGCCCACAAATGGAAAAAAAAGGGCTGGCTCATTAAAGAAGGGACTTCCTACACAGAGATGGAGAGTTCTGAAAGCTGAAAGCCAATATACTGAAACTGGATTATGACAGAGAAAAACTGAACCGGTCACAATTTAAATAACGAAGACCAGTAAGCTGGAAATTTTCATCTTATTGGAGAGTGGTAGGATGAAATATCTTTAACTTTTACGTATTTTCCCAAGAATAGATCTACTGATTTACCTACTCGTTTGGATATTCGTAAGTAGCCCCGTCTCCCCATAAATGCACCTGATAATGATCAAGGAACCTGGCATTTTTTTCTTTTAAGCAAAGAAGTTGCACTTTTTTTTCCTTCCAACTCAAAATAAAGGATCTCGAGTCTTGGAAGACTGTTGGGCATCTCAGAGCCAGGAAGGAGGGAGAGAACAGAGACCAAGCGCTGCCCTGAGTGCAAATAATCCACTTTCCTAATCTCTAGAACTGCTCTTTCTGCACTGCTCGATTGATTCAGAACAAAAGTAGGCAGCTTTGAGAGCTGGTGGGTAGCTTGGGCTGGATTTGAGATGGGGAGGGAGAAGGTTGGGAGTCACAGCAGGCAACTGGATGCCACATAACATGGGCAGGAGAGGGAATTTTGGAGCCTCCACTGTCAGGCAGTTGGAGCAGACCCGACCCTTTGGCACTGTTCCCTGCTTCAGATGGAGGAGAAACTAGAGTGTCCGTTGTCAACAATCGCAATCTGGAAGGTCTTTGGAGAGCTGCAAATTGCCCACCCCTGTTTTAATGGAAAGCAAATCCGGAGCTACTCTCAGGACTGCAGGAAATCTTGTGGGACCATGAGCTTGTCCCTTCCTAATGCCTGGCACAAAGTGGCCAGGGACTAGGTGCATGCCAGCGCTGTGTCCACCTTCCAAGGGTTCCCATGCGCCCAATGGCAGAGGAAGCACAGACCACCAAGAGTTTTCAAAGCCCTCTCCACTGTCCTCACCACAGCGTTGACAGCAAAGTACATGAGAATTGCCAAGGTGTGTGCCAGCCGGCCCAAGACCAGGTGATCGTCCCCCAAAAGGTCAAAGGTAGTTAAAGGCCTGGAAGGCAAAGAGAAAGCGAATGTTCTGATTGGGTTAGCAAGCCATGGACTGGGCAACTGTTCCACTTCCTCTGCTGTATGACGTGGGGCGTGCTACCAGTCTCCATAATACTGAACTAGACAGGCGTTTTGGAATAAGGAACCTTTGCATATTATCTCTGTAAAATAAATATGAAAAATGAATCAATTGTATATATATGAACTCAATCTTAAGCAACCCATGAGCAAACTCCATGCATCCTACGATAAAGTACCTCTCCCCACTTAATTGTCTAATCGGGAAAGATCTAACCTCTAAACAAATGCTATTAAATAGGCTGAACTGGGGTAGAATCATCTTCCAATGCACACTTCCAAGTCCCTTGGAGTGATCCTGCCCTACTGGAAGGGCATTGTAGCGGGGTGACCAGGCAGGGAGGATGAAAAGCATTCCTACCAAGAACAATACTGCCGCTTAAGGTGACTAGCGATCTCATAAACTTGAGCCTGTTGTGCTTTGAAAAATTCAGCTGCGACAGAGAATGAAAACTTAAGCAGAGGTTCTGGTGCACACCAAGGGCTGGGTAACTGGGGCAGGCTGCCTACCTTTCAGCCAAAAGTTCTGTGCAAAAAGAGGACGTCAGCTCCTTGGGAACCCCCTAAAATCCCTATAGCAGCCTTCCCCAATTTTGGGCCCTCCAGATGAGGTGGATTTCACCTCCCAGAATCCAAGGAGCTGGAAGCTGAAGTCCTAACAAATTTGGAGGACACCATAGTGAGGAAGTCTGTTCCAAAAGGACCTGAAGATTTAGGTGGTCTCACCTGTCAAAGTTCCGAAGAAGTGGGAAGAAGAAATAGCCAGCCACTGGAGCAAACTGGTTAGGGGTACACAATGGTTCTGCTTGAGACTGGCCCTGTTCCAGACAAAGAATAACGGATGGGTGTGAGGCAGCAGGAGACACTTCACCAATCTGACATGTGGAGTTCCTCCCTCCCCAAACAGACCCATCGAAGAGTTTTTTTGCTCACAAGAGATTGTCTTGTATTCAGTCAATGCCTTCTAAGCATGGAAAACAGAAAAGAGGTTGAAAAAAACTTATTTATTTTTTTAATCAATCTGTAAAGCCACCCACCTCAAAAAGTTAATCTGGGTAGCAAACAGTAACAAATAGAAGAAAAACAATTATATCCTGAGTACAAAAATTAAAGTACACAGCAGTCGAGAAAAACAGCAGTGAACACCACTAGTAAAGCCAGGAGATGGGCCCTTTTGCACACTTGGGGCCCCAGGCCTGGGCTCAGAGCCAGGTCTTTAGGGCCCCACGAAAGTTCAGCAGGGTCGGGGCCACCCTAATCTCCAAAGGGAGAATGTTCAACAGGGCAGGGGTTACGGCAGAAAAGCAGGATGTTTTGCCACGGACGATGATTTTTATATATGACCACTGCTCCAAGACAACTATATGTGCAAAAATGGAAAGATTCCGAAATACCCACAAGGGAGGAATGGTTGGTGAAGATGACAGAACTGGCTGAGATGGTAGAATTAACTTGTTTGCTTAGAGAAAGACCAATTATTACATTTATTAATGACTGGAAACCCCTTATGGACTTTTTGCTAAAAAAGACAAAAATGAACTGGTGGTTTATGGATCTGATGATTAGAAAGGGTATTATGGGAAGAAAGTGCTGTTTTTGTGGCCTTCAGAGCCCTGTTGAAGAAAGGCCAAATGGTTCACCTGGGGCAGGGGGGTTGTGGGGTGATTCAGCGGTGCTGAGGTTAGAGGAACTTTTTCAACGGGGTGGATTTTCCTGGCCCACCTTTGCAAACCTCCGGGTCTTGCTTCTGATCCTCTCATCCACCACTTTCTGCCAGTCTGGAGAAGAAGAGTTGCAGGGGAGGACTTGGATCCTGGGCCGCCTGGGACTCTGTTTGGAGTGAGGTGAAGCTGGCCGGGACAGCTCCTGGGCAGACACAGCCAGCACCTGGATGGAGAGATCGCAGGTCGTGAGATGGAAAGCTTGTTTCTTTCAGCAAAATGCACGTAAAGTAAGAATGATCTCCCCGTTGTCTGCACAGAATAGTGAGGAGACAGAAGCAGAAGAGTGAGCATTGTTAGATCCAGGCTTACATTCATTCACACGGGTAACCGAATTTCATTCCTAGGCATTACTACTTGGTGTTTAATAATAACCCTATTAGCACCCAGCAATGTAATTTTTTTTTAGATTTTTTTT